TGCATTTTTCCTCTTCTTATTTGATCACTGAAAAAAGACTTCCCTTTTTCTATTATGTTCTGCTGAGAACTGCTGTGCTTTGTGGCTTGTTGAAAATTTTGCTTGCAGCAATTCCCACTTCTATGAGTTTAAATGTAATTCAGTAAGAAACCACAGAGGCCTTACACATAAGGAACCTGATAGCATCACTTAAAGTGGTGTGAAGAATAATGGCCATTGCCAGGGATCAGTTTTACTCCTCTCATGAGCCAGACATATCATGTTGTAGTAAATTGTGTGTAGCTGAAGGCATTGATTGCAATTAGTTTCCCAAGTACACAAGAGGTCAGATCTATAATCAGGTTTTTTTCACCTTATTATTTCTGCCTGCATGATCATCTTCCTCTGGACACAGCTCAGGCTGTGATTTTATTCCAGACCACTATAGCAAAAAATAAAAATTGCAAAGATGAGGGAGATTTAAAAAGCATCATAGTATGGATCATGCATGCACAGGCTAGGAAACTGTTTTAGCACGTGAAAATGAAATGCAGTAAGAGTTGAGCATTTATAATAAGAAACAATTGTAAATGTAAGCATTGTCTTTCTTTTTATTGATCTGATAACTTCACCTGCTTTTAGCACTCTCACTTACCTTACCAGGTGTTTTTTATCCATGTAGATAACAAGGGAGGAGTTGTCTTTCATAAGTCTTTCTGGGAGGTTAGTTTTCTTGTTGAAACATAGCTACCTACTTTAATGGCTTTGATGGGCTTCAGTTAAGGCATTGCCTGGAGCCTCTAACCCCAACTTCTGCACATGGGCCCTACTTCAGCTCAGCTCTGGATTTTCAATTCCTGTCTTCCCTACATGCAGGAGTGCTGGTCTTCAGCTTTGCTATGTATGTACTTAGCTATGGGCTAGATTGATCCTGATCTTTACGCTGACCACCTGGTTTGACCTTAGCCTGCTCCTATGGAGGTGCTGTGGGCTGCATCTTGCTTTGCATCCTTAGCGAGAGAGGTAAGATGGATCTTGGAGAAACCCATCCCCTACCAGTTCTCATGGGGATTTTCACAGGGAGCTGCTATTATGCAAGATTCCCTGTTGGTGAGTTCTTCATGTTCCGTGCACAGTAAAATAACTGAAGGAACAAGGAGGCAATGTAGATTTTGCTGGGAGCACAGAGCAAATGGAGTGACCCTTACAAGTTTGAAAGCTAAATAGATGTTTCATAGGACTTGAACCAATGTCTGATTTCTCTTAAGCTATAGCAGTAGTTTAGTAGTACAGGTGGATGGATTTATCTGTCTTTCCTTCCGCTTATTTTTTCAGTCTTTCAAGTCTACTTTTTGTTTCCATCGCATCTGAGACTTCCCAGTCTGTTGTCCAGGGTCAGTAAGGTGTGTTAAACTATTTCTCTTTCCTTGGGATGGGAATACTGAACTATTCTTATGTGTACTGTTGAGCCCCATAGCACTCTTGAGGAGAGCAGTAAGCTTTCTCAAGTGATCTGCTCTCTTTCCAGAACTACTTTCTTTCTTTCACATTGCAGCTTCATCCTCCTACATCTCTCTTGTGTTTTGGCTGTGTCACATACATGTATCTGATCTAAGTCACAGATGAGGTTGGATGCATTCTGTGCCAAGTCAGAGCTAATGAGCATGCAAGCCATGGTATATGTGATGTACTGATCCAAGTTGCCTAGGAAACACTCTGGTTAAGTCCATGTGGTGTTTTCGATCCACCTTATGTAATCTTTCTATGCAGGGCGTGCCAAGTGCACTAACTCTTCAGTATTACTATTTATGCAGGAGTTCCCGTTTTCCTGCTAGTACTTTAATCCTGCTGCACAGCTCTGCAAGAATTAAATGTATGAAATGTGCCATGAGGTCAGAACAAGATGCCTTGTTTATGACAGTGAACACGCAGTATTTAATTTCCAAGGTGACGCAGATGACCTTTTCCCATTTTCTTCCCCTTGATTATTTTTTTAATATCATGCTGAATTTGGGAATGTCCTGGTTTTGGGTTTCTTTTTGTGAAGTGGATGTAAAGCCACAATCTCTCATTCACTAAAAATAGCCATACGTGTGATGCCATATGGAGTGAATTGTGCTGAGACTTGCACTCTCCAGATCTCAGTTCAGTCCTGTAATTCTTCTGAAACCTTTGCTTCTGAGTAAAAGCAAGGAAAGGTTTTGCTTCTACTGGCAGCTGGAATGGATCTTTATCACTTTGCAAACCACTTCTAATTATTTTTCATGTACAATCATCTTGAACATATGGCATTTGATTTAATTTCTACTGGCAATTCAGCTTGATTTGCTGGAGAGCTGCATGTTTCTGCAGAATTTAACCACTCTTTTACAGATGAAATGGGCTTATGGTACTTACTTGGAGGAAAAAAAAAGATCATGCAAGGATGGCATAGAGCAGCAAAGCTGATGTAACAGACTGAGAAACTACCTGTATTCCTTGCAGCTTACACATTTATTTGCAATCAGATGGCTCATGATCTTGGTGTAAATGCACATCACTCTCTCAACTAGGTTTCTCGCTCACATAAGTGCAGATGATTACTTCTTTTAATGCTTGCAGGAGGGAGTCCTGAAATGGCAGGAGAAAAGGTATTCTAAGGAATTAGCAGCAAGATCTTTCTTATGAGAATGGGCACTTGCTAATGAACTGAGCTAGACTATAAACCTGTGTTGCAGACTGTGCTGTTGTGGCAAATGTAATCCAGCATTACATAACTTTATCTACTTTGCACGGAAATGAGAACAGGGTAACTTACAGCAGGTGTACGCATTGCATGTTACAATCTTTTTGCTAGAAATCATCTCATTTTGGAGAGACACAAGAAAAACAGACTTTCGTCTCTCTTATGCCTAGTGCTGCTTTTTCGGAGTAGCTCATCGTTCATTGGCAGTCCACCCTGTCCCTCACACTTGATAGGGCCACTGCAGTGTTAAGGACTTTGTGCTTTGCTTGAGTGACTCAGCTGATCAGCACACTTCTGTCTGGGCAAGGTGAAGTGCTGATTCCCCTGTGGCAGTGGGCAATATATGATACCAAGTCAGAAGGAGAAAAGGAATAGACGACCTTTGAAAATGAGAGATATGTATCTGCTATATATATATATATATATATATTTATTTATGAAGTTATAGAAGAGGGTGATTCCAGCTAACACTAGATAAAGATAATTCTATGCTTTGACAGTGCGTTGCTTAGGTAGCTAATGGTAAATTCTGGAGTCATTGGCTTGGTGCCACTGTGTCTGTAATTGCATTTCATGCATCTCTAGGGGCTCTTCTCAGAGGTAAATGAGAAATTGAGCTTCCTTTCTTTAATGATGGTGTCAGCACCCTTTTCTATTCACAGTAAGCCGTTTGTTAATATAAGGTCATACAGACAGTTCTTGTTCCAAGAACAGTCCCTGGACACTTTCTATCATAGTTTATCATGGAGGATGCTATTCCTGACTCAGCATAAACACTGATCCAGGAGCAGCTGGTAAGCAGGGCTGCCAAGGGGAAAATCTGTGCCTGCAGAGAGAAAGATGCTGACAGGTTCCTCTGTCTTTGTTCCTATAAGCACTTCCAGCTTTCTTTTTCTCAGCTGAGGAAGAGAAAGAAGTAGGAGCTGTGAGCCGCTTCTTGGTCTTTCATGTTCATCCTCAGGCTCTATAGTTTTATGTCCTTGAGGCCTTCAGTTAAAAAAATAAAATAAAATAAAAAAGGCTTCCAGGGATGCAATGAGAGATATTTGAGTTGTCATTGTTAATGACTTGTACTGTCAGTTATCCATTCAAGGAGGAAAAAAGTGCACCTTTCAAAAAGATGGAAACAGCAAAATGGAAGGAAATTATTCCCCTTCTTAAAGCAAAAGGAATCACTTAGCACAGAAACACTACACAGGAGAATGCCCTGAAGTATGCCAAACATCATAATGGGGATGGAGCAATCACACAAACAGCGGGTAGATAAAAATGGTTTGAGTGAGCTTACAGCAGGTCATTTGGCTGTGGACCTTGTCTGGTAGGAACACTGCAGCAACTTCATAAAGAGCTAATGGGATTGCTGACTTGATCCTGGAGCTCAGAGGAGCATCCCAGCCAGCAGAAGACCTCTTTATATTGTAATAATGATGGTGCTATTTGGAGGAAGCTCCAGGCCTTGTGCCTGTCAGGTCAAAAGACCTTTGCAAGTGGCTGAGGTTAACCCTGGGTTCAGCCACAGCCTAAGTGGGCTTAGCTGTGAACACGATTTGGAATCTTGTTCAGGACAGAATTGCTCTTGGCAGTGCAGCAGCCTCTTCATTGCCTCCTGTGTAACACCATCCTTCCTCCTGTATGGGAAAGAGGGAGTGTGACTGCAATAATACCCAATGTTGGAAAATGTTTTTATCTTATTTTTGAACAAACATTACCAAATGGGCTGTGTAACAAGTAAAAGATGCATGTAGGAAGTGATATTTTGACATCTAACCAGTTTGGGAAGTCGCAGTTATTAAAACCCAGATTTCTTGTATCAGCAGAGGGCGCAGCATCATCAAGCAAGCAAAGGCTTTCTGCTTACTGCCAAGCCCTACCTGCTGGTGCCTCAGGAACAAGGCTTCAAAGGTGGGGTGAAGTCACAGAGCTAGTGAGTTAGAAACTTAGAGATCCTTTTGGTAAGCACAAAGCCATGTGACACACCACCCTCCATTGTTTTGCCAGAGTTCATGTATTTGTGGACTTTATTGGGATTAGGCATTAAAGTGCTTATTTAATTTCCCAGGACTCTGCCATCAAGGCTGGCAGTGCTTGATAGAGCTGAGCATTTTGTTGTGCTGTCGCCTGTTCTGTCAGAGGCAACCTATAAATACCTCATGCTTCTATGTTTCCCTATCTCTCACTCTGTAAGAGGAAATGGGCTTTTTTTCACGTGATTAGCAGGCAGAGGAACTTGTGAAAGTGACACAGCTGTACTGTTTAAAAAAAAAACAAAACCAACACCAAAAACCCCACCCCACAGAGTTTGTTACCAGAGCAGCTTAACTGCTGGCTCTGATAGACCTGAGGGCAGGACTGCCTGCAACATGGAGCGAGAGCCGATGCGCATAAGGGAGGGCTACTTGGTTAAGAAGGTAAGCAGGCAGCCTTGGACAGGGTGGAGGAGAGAGCTGACTGAGCAGGATGGGGAAGTGTAGGGAAATATGCTTTGCTTTCAGTTATTTAAAATTAAAAAGCTTTTTTTTTTTTTTTTTTTTTTTTTCTTCTTCCTAAAAAGGAAGGTGAATAATGAAAGCAATTCTTGAGTAGTAAAACAATGTGATTACAGCAGTGATCTATTGATTACAGAAGTACTGCTAGCAGTCGTATCTTGTTACAGTACTATGTGATGAGGCATTTCTGTGTTTATCCTACAGTACTTCTGGGTCAAATATAAATATATATATATATATATATATATATATATATAATTTTTTTTTTTTTTTTTTTTTTTATTACTAAGAAACATAAATGCCTCAGTTGGAAGCTTGGTAAAATAGGTAACAGCTCAAAATGACCAGAGCCTGTTCTACTGTGCTTTATCAGAGAGTAAAATATCAGAGAAGCACGTTGCTATCCCTAAAGTAGGGAGAGCTTGTGGGACCATGGACAAGGAGTAGGTTACAACTTTTATTGAAATCCTTAGTGAGATCAGTCTGGTGTCCAGCAGTTTAAACCAAGTCAGTTCTGGAGCAAGGGAGGAGCTCTGCTGTGGGGTCTCTGCTCATCAAAACCAGAATTCAGCTCCTTAGAGCTGCTGGCTGGAGAGCTCTAATCTGCTGCCACTGTTGCATAGAGGCCACTCCTCAGTCTTATTTCCACTGGCACTGGAAGTAGGCGAGTTTATACAGTAATCTCAAAGTTGAACTGATGCTGTCATGAGGAAAGAGATGACCAAATTCATTCACGGCAGATTGCAGTTCTCTCTAGTTCTGGTGGCCCAATACTTAGAGCAGGTGGCTCACAATCTATATTTTTCCATGGCAAGGAAATGGCTAGAAACTTGGACACAAGCACTGTGTCTGGCTGGGGCATGCCAGGGAAAAGATGTGTGCAGGCATCCGGTGTGAGTTCCTGCCATTCCTGTGGGTGCTGGGTCCCCAAGAAGTCTCTCTGTTTGGGTACTGCTAATGGAAAATTGCTGCTGCATGTGCTGTTTCAGTAGTAATAGAGAAGTGGAAATTGTGCCCCTTTTCTGTAAGGTGGTTCTGTCCTTGCTGAAGTGAGTTTGTGTTGATGGTGAAGAGCAGCAGTGTGCCAAATGGGGGCTGGAGGGCAAAAGGAGAAGATGCAGACCGGACTGGTAGCAGCTGTTTGATCTATCAGTAAGACTGCAGTGGATTCTGTAAGCAAAGCTTCCAGCCAGGATGGGCAAGGTCCTAATCAATCTTACCTGCTACTGAAGTACTCTCCTCTTTTTTGTTATGCTTCTAAAGTGAAGCTATGGAACACACCTCCCAGACAAGTCACTCACACAGCCACAGTTGTCTTTGCCAAGGGTGAAGGCTGTTTTTTCACTGGCTCTCTTCTTGTCTAATTTACATCATGGGAACATGCTTGAGGATCAGTGTTTTAGCTGGTACAGCATGACTTCTATTACATATGCATTCAGTGTTGGTTTTAGGTTGTCCTAAGCTGCTACGTGTATTTGTGGTGACTTTGTGTAATCTTCTGAGCAAGCATGGAAAGCGGCTCGTGTAGTGCTGCAGGAATTCATTATTTTTTTTAAGTTGTATAAAGGATTAATAAAGGATATTAATTATTAATAAAGGATAAATAAAAGGATTGTGTGGTGGCTCAAGTCTTGGCTCACCATCTTACTTGATTCCTTAGCAGAAGTTCAACCTATGGGTCACGTTCTCCAGAAATGGTAAATTCATGCAGCTTAAATGAGCAAAAAATCAAACTAGAGGAAACAGCATTCAATCCCTGTGTGCAATCCATATCCAAGACTGGCTCTTCTTTGTAACTGCCTGTTCAGCTGGGTTTCTAGACAGCCCCCGGCATAGTGATTTTTTCTTTGGAAAGAAGCATTTGCTTGTGGGGATCCTTCTGCCTCCAGTGAGGGCTGCAGAGGCTGGGAGCAGGTTCCATTCTTACTAACATCTCTGCTGACAGTTTCCCCTATTCACCCTGTAGTTGAATGTAAGATCTGATTCGGAGTGTGAAAGGCATAGAAGGCAAAGTAGGAAAAAGGATGTGATGGAGAAAGGCTATATTTGGGGAGTAGTGGGGTGGGGAAAAAAGGAAGATGGTTTTTCTGTCCCATTCACATGTGTGGAAATGCAAATGCAGCTAGTGCAGTCCCTCTCTCATGTCTGAAGATCAAAACAAGGCACTTTGCACGGTGTGATGGTGTCTGCCTTGCTTCTATCTGCAGCTTTAAGACTGTCCGGTAACCATGGGGGGGGGGGGGGGATAAACTGGGGTCTCTCTTTGTGCTGGAAAGACTAAGGACAACTAATATTTTTGAAGAATTCTGGACCCATGTATGTCTTGGTGCTCTTCAGTAATTCTTCAGAGAAGCTGTTGATATTCAGCATATCTAAATGTTCATTTGGATGAGCAGTCACTTCTGTGTCTGGGATTGTGACTGTTCTTAAAGCTGTCTGCAGGCAGGCTGAGCCAGCTAGAGCACCAGGTTCTTAATTCTAGAGCTTAATCATGCTAACTGAGCACAGAGAAACAGATAGTTCCTCTTTGAGTCCCTGAGACTTTGGCCGTTTATTTCACTATATGTAGGTTCTGGCCCTGGTTTTCTCTATATTTCACTTGTCTAAAAACTGTGATTCAGAAACAGCAAGTAAAAACTTCAAGAGATGAAATGAAGCACCTCGAATTCTCACCACAGCGGTTAGGGATCTGCACCCTAAGAACCTTAAACTACTCATTGCTATTTGCTGAAGTCAAGAAATCCTCTGCAAACTTAGAATCATAGTATCACTTGAATTGGAAGGGACCACTAAAGTTCACCTAGTTGAACAGCCCTGCAATGAACAGAGACCTCTACAGATTGCCCAGGGCCTGGCTCAGCCTTGCCTTGAAAGTCTCTGGGGTTGGGGCATCAACCACACCTCTGGGCAACTTCTTCCACTGCCTTACCACTTTTAGTGTAAAAAAAAACAAACAAAAACTTCTTCCTTATGTCCCATCTAAATCTCCACTCTCCTAGTTTGAAATTATTTCCCTCTGCCCTACCACAACAGACCCTGCTAGAGTCTGTCCCCTTCTTTCTTACAGCCCCCCATCAGGTACTGAAAGGCTGCTCTCAGGTCTTCTGGATCCTTCCCTTCTGCAGGCTGCACAGCCCAGCTCTCAGCCTGTCCTCACAGGGAGGTGTTCCATCCCTGGGCTCATTTTTGCAGCCCTCCTCTGCACACTCTCCAACAGCTCCATGTCTCTCCCGTACTGAGCACTCCACGTCTGGATGCAGTGCTCCAGGTGAGGTCTCACAGTGCAGAGCAGAGGGGCAGGATCACCTCCCTCACCCTGCTGGCCGTCATCTTGAATCAAAGTGGCTGGGACAAGCTGAAAAGAAATGCCTACAGGGAAAATATTGGAAAAACTTACAGGTGGGGCCACTGGAAGAGGAAGTAAATGGTGGTCAGAAGAATAACAACAGTGTGTTTGAACTGCATAGTAAGATGGATGCAGTTATGGTTTAGTGTTCCCCTTGAGACATGATAATTAGTTTAGAGTCAGATGTTCTGTGGAAGATCATGTCTTCACTGTTCACATGATATCCATTGATTTCTCAATGTAGGGTAGCATGTTTAATACCTGGAAGCCAATGTGGGTTGTGCTCTTAGAAGATGGAATTGAATTCTACAAGCGGAAGTCTGACAACAGCCCCAAAGGGATGATCCCACTAAAAGGAAGCACCATCAACAGCCCATGCCAAGACTTTGGCAAAAGAATGGTAAGTACTTCTTTTTCTGATAACTATGATTGACAGTATACTTAAACTGCTGAAGGCCCTGAAAGGGCACAAGGCTGGTAGTTAGATTCCTTATTCATATCCTGGTGATCACTCTCATTTGTCTTAGAAGGTCACAAGCAGGCTTGGACTTTTGTAGTGTTTGAAAGGTGTGACTGCTTGAGGAACAGCTCAGGATATTTCAAGAGAAGCAGCTCAGAAAGCAGTTGTTTGGATTTCTGACTCTGTCATAATGGATCTAAATTGTATTTTCACGGTACCAATAGCCACAAAATAAAACTGTGGTAAACTGTCTCATGAGCCCTGGAAAAACATAGTTATTGCCAAAGAGCACTGACTAGTTTGCTTGGGTGGGAGGGAGATAAATGCTGTGATACAAATGCCCTAAAAAAGCTATGATTCCAAACTGTTTCGTTACCATTCAGTAAGTACATGAGGTCAGGTAGTTCATACTCATATAATCTGTTTTATTTGCATGTTGTGTGGTTATATGTAGAGCTTTTACCTATGACTAAGAGCTACGTGTTTACTCAGAGTGAAAAACCAAAACTGATTTGGAGAAATTAGTTGAAATGATGCTATGCATTTGGGCTCTCTGTGGGCAAACACAGTAAGCAAGGTAAGGTCCAAATTCCCAAAGAGATGCACGTATCATGATATTGGTAAATTCAAAGTCTTGTTTGAAAGACTTTAGTAGAAAGCATTTAGTCCAGGAGGAGACTGTACTGTTGTGTCTGGAAGGAGGATTTTATGATCGTGCATCCTTATCCGATGGTCATCATAGATACAGCAATACCTGAGCTGGCAAGGGAGAGCATTCAGTTGATTCAGAAACATTTGAGACCAAAGCCATCTACTCCTTCTTGCTGACAGCTTCTGCCCTACTCAGCCCCTGGCAAGACTGGGCAAGCTTTACTGGTAACCCCTGCAACTTTGGATCTGACCTTCTGTTTCAGCGAGCATACGTGCAAGCCAGAGCTCTGCTTTACTGCACTTGACTTCACCTCTTTTGCAAACCCTAAACAATAAAGGTGAAGTGTAATTACATTCAGGGACTTGAGCATGGGGGAAGAAAATTAAATAATCAAATGAAGGAAGACAGTATATCTGTATGCATCTGGTTCTAATTCTGTCAGTTTAAAACTGTGTCTCAGCACTATCTAATTAACGACCCTCTGTACAGCTTTCCTTACTCTATATGTGGGAGGAGGATGCTGTTCTGGAGTATCAGATCCTACAGTACAGTACTAGACATTCATTTTTTCCTTATAAAGCATTTTTTTCTGGACAGGTTTTTTTGTGTTTGATGTCCTGATAAAATCACTGCTGTTCTGTAGGGGTTGCATGTGCACTCCCAAAATAGGCAGAGGGGTACAAAATATTCAGTGTCAGATCAGGAAGACAAGGCACGTGCCTTTTCAGAAGTAAAATCTGATGCAGTTTGTTGAAGTCAGTGGAAGTGGTCCCAATGACTTCATTAGGTGTTGGAGCAGCTTTGTTAGGTCAGTGAGATCCCTCTGCAAGTCCATAGAGCAGCAGCCCTGAAGAAGTGCAAATTTGCACTTCTCAAACAGTCAAAACTGCAGCATACTCATTCCTACAAGCAGTGGTGTTATTGGGATTGTTCTTACTGTCCAACATGATTAAATTACTGCATATATTCCTTGAAAATACAGGAACTTTATTTTTTTATATTTTACATCTTTATTATGCAGCTGAATTCAAAGCCTCTGTATTGCATTGTGCATTCTAGTTAATTGCATGCTAAAACATACAGTTGTGCTGCTTATGGGAATAATTCTGGTTTATAGTGACTTGAGTGCATTTGTAGCACTAAAAATGGAAGTATAGTTTTAGGTCAAGATTTCTGTAGGGTAAGAAGTGGGATAATTCTAATTAGGTCTGTTTTAAGTCTAGTATTATTTGAATTCACACTGGGGCAGGGAATATTAAGCTGTGAGCAGACTTCCATGTTCATCTGGTCAGATTTCAGCTGTTTGAGTCAGGTAGGCCTCAATGCAGTGATACAGTCTGAAACCTCAAGGGTGCATGTTACAGCACACAGGTAAATCAGTTGCAAAAAGCAGATGCTGAGGGGAAAGGAAGTAATCTTGGATTTCTTAAACAGATAAAGCTTGTTCCCAAGAGGCTGTGACTGCATATTTAATGATTTTAATTGCAAAATGTACTCACCATTGTTTATTGGTCTTGACATGAATCTTTATCATTGCTCAACGTGATGTTAATTCTGCTATATTCCTTCTTCCTCTCTCTTCCTCTGGATGGCATTATCATGTATGGCTCCTTATAGTGGGATTCATTTATCTAAAATGTTGGTGTTTAGTTCAAGCTAACGCTCTAATTTTCTCAAAAGCACAAATAGATACACATCTCCAGAAAAGAGTTTGTTCACTTCTAGGATTGGAGACAGCTGATGATTCAGTCTTGATTTCATTGCTGTAGATCCACTGTTCTGTGCCCTCTGATGATAGTCTCTACTTGTCCCTATGGACCCATGCTGTTTGCTCCATTATTAGCTTGACATTTCCAGTTGATGCCTACTGAGCCTTTTTATTCTTGTACAACTATGGAAAACGTAGCAGTTCCTCTTATGGGGAGTTGTATTTTAGAGGAAATGGAAGCCCTCTTGTCTGAGTAATTTGACCTAGATTTTCCATCCAAAAGGTCACTGGATGAAATAAAGATCAAACAGTCTGAATTTAGAGGGCTTTTTTTTTTCCAAGTTGGTGTTTTTTTGTTTTTGTTTTTTTTTCTCTGCCTAGTCCTCCTGCCTTTAAAAGATCTGTTCTGATTTTGTGGGAGTACAAGTTTTCCATTGGGGTCAATGTATATTAGATCATGATGTGTATCTCAGAGTTGGATTTATCATTTCCCTGCCAAAGCCTTAGAAGTGTGCTAGACTGTAAACAAGTGCAGCTACTCTCTGTGACAGTTTTCTTCTCTCTAAGCATATGGTGTGGTTTGTTTTTTCATTATTGCCTCTCCTCCAGACTGACCACATCTCTAAATAGTGAGACAGGTTTACACCCATGTGATTTTGCAGGGGATGGGTACTTCAGTCTTTCAGCTATGTTGGACTTGCCAGCAAATGTTAAAATCATCAGCTATATGGGTGCCACTCATTTTTGCTGATGTTAGCTCTAGCTGGAAAGTAACAGAAGTCCATTATCTGTACTGCCTGTCCATGCTTTTCTTTAGAATTATTTGACTGTGGCTCTAAGGCACTCTCCAAAGCCCCTTAGATAGACTGTATGCCATGGTGGCACCAGCTACACTAAAGTAACTTGAAGAAAACATTATTTATCCTTCTAGTTTGTCTTCAAACTCACTGCAGCCAAGCAACAAGACCACTTTTTTCAAGCCTCCTACCTGGAAGAGAGAGATGCTTGGGTACGGGATGTCAAAAAGGCAATTCAGTGCATAGATGGAGGTCAAAGATTTGCCAGAAAATCCACAAGAAAATCCATCAGACTTCCTGAAACAATCAACTTGAGGTATGTTCTTATAGCTCTGCTAGTCTGTTTACTTCCCTCTGCAGGCAGTGGCAGAGATGTAACCTCAGCATGGAAGAGCTATTAGCATGTCTGTCCATGCTACCAATCCAGTTTCCCTTGGAGTCCTTTCTGCATCACTGACAGTTTCAGCATGGCAAAAAATAACTTGTGGTGAGAACTGGGAAGACATTTTTTTTTTTTTTTTTTAAAGCATCATCTTTTATAAAAACAAGCTAATTTGTCAAAGGATTTTGCTTATGAGCAGGCTTCTGTGTACACTGCAGCACTACATGTGATTCTTTTAGGAGAAGCATTTTCACAGAGGACAGAATTTACTGTCCAAAGAATTTAGCCTGTGACACTCAGTGTTTGTCCTTGTCATTTCAGAACCTCAGGGAATTAGTTTTGAGCAAGTGAAAAGCAGATGGGAAGGAGGAAGTCAGATCAGGGGTCACTGAGGTTACTTGGGCCCTCTGAGAGCATATGTGCTTAAGGGATGTCCCAGTCACAGGCTTTCTGCTCAAATGGCCTCCACAGTAGGGATTCCTTTGTTCACACTACAGTCATCACAAGCTTGGACAGTCTCAAAATGGGGCCAATTAATGATGAGCCCTTTCTGCACCGTGCCTATATTTCTGATGGCAATGGTGAAGCTTCCATGTCTTGCACAGAAAGCTTTTCAGGAGAAAAACACCAAGCCATGCTGTAGCACTGCAGAGAGCACTATGCTAGCAAAATATGAAGATCCTGTGAAAGAATGTTTCTATAACAGCTGGATATAACTTTTTACATGCTAACAGTTTTTGTTGTTTGTTTGTTTTATGCACAGTGCTTTGTACCTCTCAATGAAAGATCCTGAAAAGGGAATAAAGGAATTGAAGCTGGAAAAAGATAAAAAAGTGTTCAATCACTGCTTTACAGGTAAGGAGATCTTGTCCTGTTGTTTTTTTGGTTTTTTTTTTTTTCCCTTCATTCAATAAAAAGAGCACAGGGCTAAGAGTCTAAAGATAGACTAAAACAGCTCTAAGCCATTTAAAGTACAGTTTGTGAAGAAAGTTTGAGAGGGAAGCCTGGCAGAGGTCATGCTGACCATTGTGGGACATGCTCAAAGGATGAAGCTTGGGAGGGTTCAGATACAGTCATAGTGGAGGAGAGAAAATCAAATGAGTACCAGCAAGATTGAAATAGATCTTTCTAGAAAGTTGTGTGAAACAATTCCAGAAGAACTGTTTCTCACTGAATTTTTCTACATCAAACTGTGTCATGTTTTAATTCCTGTCCTGCTCCAAGTCAAATCTGTGGGTGCTAAGCTTGAATGTCAACCTCTTTCTACAACACTGCATCAGTAACATTGCAGCTTGAAAGACTGTCTCCTCCAGGCTTGGATTTTCCAGTCCCTCCTGCTGAAGCTTCCCTGCTCAGCCCTGCATCTTTTCCAAGCTCTTTTCTCCTGGAAATACAGTGTACAGGAATTGTATTGGCCCAGGACATCAGTTGGATTAGCTGTACCTCACTGAATGACACAGGCACATTTGCAGATTAATTCTCTGCATTGTCACTGAGAACATCTTTCAGGAGATTTGTGTTTAGATAGATTTGTTGCCTGTTGTGGTGTTTATTTCTTGTTGTTGTTGTTTTTATATAAGGTTTCTGTGTGTTTGTCTTGGTCTGTGGCTGATATTCATATTGTTAATTCCTTTGTAACCAGGCACTGCTGTGATTGACTGGCTGGTGTCTAGCAACTCCATCCGAAATCGCAAAGAAGGCCTCATGCTTGCCTCCTCTCTCTTGAATGAAGGCTACCTACAGCCTGCAGGAGATACATCCAAGGCTGCAGCTGAGGGACTGTCAGATACCCCTTTCCTGGATCTTAGTGATGCCTATTACTACTTTGTGAGTGCTGTACTGGTTTTCCTTTGTTTCTGGTTTGCAGATACTCTTCTCAGGCTTGAGCCTTGTTTTTTAAGTCCTGGTGGAAAGGTTGTCAGAAATTGAGAATTCCATGTTAAATATCTTTCTCTGTGTGATGCTCAGAATAAACTGACTCAACATTTGTAAGGTCAGTTCTTCTGTCGCTCTGTGTGAGCTGAGTACAGAGATCAAACTGGGCTCTTTTTAGTTTAGACTTTGTTCCCATTAATTTCAGCAGTAACCAAGACTTGGCCACCAGCTCCCCGATGATGATGATTCAGTGGAAGGGAAGGGAGTAATTCATCATCATGAGGCTTCTTAGAGCAGCTCAAGCTGGAAACACGTTTTTGTGCTCAGAGCCATCAGATGTGACTCAGTTCACACGCATGCAAGCAGAGCTTGCCTATGAGCCAAGAAGCAAAAGTTTTCAATATCTACCTTGTAACCCCTGTCCTGGGTAGCTTACCTAATCTTTTCAGTTTATTTCTTCAAATCAGTCCACAGAATATGAAGAATTTGCAATACTGCAATCACAGCCAAATACTGCTTTTAAAAATGCTTGCCTTATGAACTTATGCTTGCAAAAAGTTTTCTTACTGTCGTGTAAAATTGCTTCAGTTTTACAGTTCTGTTTATACTTACTGCATAGAATCACCCTACTTCACTGAAATGAATTTCCCATTGCTTGCTTTGTTTTCCTAGAGTATCTCTATGGTACCTGGGCAGAAACAGAAGCACTGGCAGTGCTGGTGAAGGAACCATGTAGCCATTATGGTTCCTGGCTACCCATGACACTTCTGATAGCCATTGTGCACTCTGCTTGCTTTCAACTTGCTTTTAGTTTGCTTCAGTGATCTGGGGGAGGAAACTCCAGGTCAGCACCTGGCTTGTTTTCACGTGAACTGGAAGTACAAAAGACTACTATATGCAGTACAAATGGTTACCTTCATTTATACCATTTGAACTACATAGTTTCACTAAGCAGCATCACAAATTATCTGAGATGATAGACAGCCTGGATGGAAACAAATATTAGATGCTGTGCTCGATGTAGGAAGAGGAGAGGTACATTGGGTTGGGAATGGGCAGCCCAAAATGTATTGGCTGTGCCAGCTTTGCTTCATGTAAACTGTGATGTGTGGAGGTGCTCCAGGTCTCTTCAGAAGCCTAAAGACCTGTTCTCATAGTCCTCAATCTGAAATGCTTCCAGTGTGACATGGAGAGGTCCTCAACTTTACTGGAGTGTTTTTCAGTAAAGGAGTTGGTTTTTTTAGGTATCAGAAACAGAGTGGAAGGAAGGCAAAGAAGCCACACTCATACATCATGTATAAACATGTACCATTTGTGTAACTACTTCATGTTCTCTTGTGATCATGCAGCCTGACAGTGGATTTTTCTGTGAGGGAAATTCTAGTGATGATGATGTGGTCCTGAAAGAAGAATTCAGAGGCATGATTGTCAAACAAGGATGTTTGCTAAAACAGGTTGGTACCATGCACCTTCTACCCTTTCTAGCCTAGGATACAGGATTACTCTTTTCCTCTTAAAAGCTTTAAAGAAGAGAAAAATAAGCCTTGTATTTCTCTTGTTCAACCAAGTTACTCAAAAGCAACAGAAGAAATTAGGTATGAGTCTTTCTGCTAACACTTAACCCTGTCACATTCACCTCAGCCTGGTTAGTAGGAACTATTGCAAGCAGCAATAGTTAGTTGAGAAACTAATATTTTGAAATGCTGAGAGGAAATGATTCATGATGTTCTTTACCAATTAATCTGGATTTGGTCACCCTCAGTGAACTGTGGCTCACTGTAGGCACCATTGCTTCTGCTGATTATGTCTGTTTTCAAGACTGGAGTGATGGATGGGGGAAAATGTAGTCCTGCTGTGTAATGGTGTTACTGCAGTTACATTGTGAGTGCTGTAAAATGAGTCAGTGTTTCAGCTTCCTGAAATGCTTCCAGATCTGATGCCCTGGGATGTCACCCAGTCTGTCTTCCCTGCAGCTTTTCTGGTGACTCATCGTGTTCAGGCTGGGAAGGTCAGGAAGGGAAATTTCCCATCTTCCAGGAAGAACAAAGGGCAGAACCAGATGAGCTGGATGTAGTCCATGCATGCCTAGGGTCCTTGTGACCAGTAGGAGTCCATGAGGTGACCAACTGGGCCAAACTGAGCTTTAGGATGAGATCTCCCGGAGCCTGAATGCACTTAAACAATACTGATTGATTAGAGGTGATGGACTAAAGGCTGGGGCAACTTTTATTAATATTTGGATGCCTGCGGTGTTTGGAGCTACATCCACATGCTGATATTATGCTCTGAGGGCAGCCCCTAGAAGTCGGGTGCAGTGCCTGGAGCCCTAGGAGGGCTGAGTATCTCAGAATGGCATTGCTGTGAATTGGCATGAAAGCTTCCTCAGCCATCCAGCCAGGGATGCTGTGGGGAAATGTTAGGATCTGAGCTTGGCTGCTAATAGCAATGATTATATATATGTGCAATTATAACTGCACCGTTGGCCATAAGCATTTGCAGGGAGGGCAGTTCATGACATTTGTGTTTTTGAATTTTTCTAGGGGCATCGGAGGAAAAACTGGAAAGTGAGAAAGTTTGTTTTAAGAGAGGACCCTGCATATCTTCACTACTATGATCCTGCCGGAGTAAGACACATTTGGTCAACTTTGAATTATTTTTCTGTTTGGCAGTTTTGCTTTGGGGTTGTATTTTTGTTGTTGTTGCTGAAGTTCGGTTAGTTTTTCGTTTGTTTGATTTTCAGGCTGCCCTCCTCTAGAAATATGAGTGAAGTATTTGCTTAGGAATGTGTGATTAAAAAAAGCCAGGCAGGGCAATGGGGCAATTTATGTTCACACTGCCTGGTCACTCTGGAAGAGTAAGAGGTAATGATGGTTTTGGGGGCTGGCATGTCAGGGTGGCAAGTGACATCCAGACCTGGGAGCAGTCAGCACTGAACTGTGCTCTCACCTTGTCTCTGTGGTCAATTGGAAGTGAACAAGTTGAAAAGAGCAAATTAAGGCAATACAGTCACTTTGCAGTTCATAATTTTCCATGTCAGACTGAGACATGGCACTTTATTTCACATGTAATTGTAATAGGCCAAATACTGTTCTGAGAAAGGAAGGAGCATCACTGCAGAAAAAACCTACCTCAAAAGCAGGCGTCCATATGGGTTCAGCCCATTATGTGTGTTTGTCAGACAGCTGCAGGAGCAGTGCTGTTGTTGTGGGTTACAGGTTCTGTGCCTGTCCTGCTTGGCAGAAGCAGCCTAGACACAATGGAGACTCAACACTGAAGAGTTTGACCTCCATTTCTGGTGTGTTTTCCCCACTCTTGGCTTTTCCTCCCAAAATACTGAAGTGTCAGCTCTCAGGAAATGCATGTTTCAGGCTTATGCTAATAGAAGTGCTTCTCCGTGCATTCTTTGCCTATCACAGTCTAGAAGCATGAAAGAAGGAAAAATAGTCAAAGTTATAACAGCTCCTGCTGTTTTTGTTTTTTTGGGGTTTTTTTTTCTCTAATTAAGCAAACAAAAACTTTCTAAGATCTGCTCTTCTTTCTAATTAACCTTCTTTTCACCATGAAAAGGAAAGCCTGTAGTTGGCACAAGGTGGTTTGTATTCTTTCCATGCCATTACTCAGGACATGCAAAATACTCTGCAGATCCTGAATTCCAAATTCCAAAAGGCTTCTTATTTATTTACAGATTTGTGAACGCCCTTACCCTCCATATTACACTGGCTGAGGATCCCTGGTTTTCTAAGGTGACACGCTTAGTCACCAGATGTTTTTGTTTCCACTGTGGAGTTGTAGTCAGTTACTGAGATGTGAACAGTTTCAGGAGTGTTGTATTTTATGCTGACTTTGTATCTGTCTCAGGGAGAAGATCCACTAGGAGCAATCCACTTGAGGGGCTGCGTGGTGACTGCAGTGGAAGATATGCCAGACTGTAAGGAACCATAGTGGAAGAGCTGTTATAGGGTTTTTGGTGCATTCTTTCAATCTGCCAAAAAATCACAAGTGATTTTATTTTTTTTTAACTCAAAAACAATTTGCACCAATTCAGTAATTGTTCTAATTACTAATAATTCTAATTACTCGGTTATCTTTATCACAGTACCTTCCTCTAGTAACTAAAGGTAGCAACAGGGTATCTTGTGCTTTGTCAGCTGTTTAGACTAGTCAAATGATGACCTGGCATCCCTATGTTAAGATAACTGGCCACAGAAATAAGCTGAGTTCTCTTTTTAGTTTGTTTTTTGGATGGTAACTTTAAGTTACAAATGGCAGTGCCAATGAATTTGCTGCTCTACACATTCTTCTTCCCAAAACTAGAAGCTGTGGGAAGAGCAATGGTTAGCATTGCTGCAGGAACAAGAAACATTCACTCTATGCATTCTCTTCTCCATCGAAGCAGTGGTGAAATGTGCAGAATTCATATTTTTTTACTCCAAAACAATGACAGATTTCATGGGCCTAATTTTGCAAAGTGCTTACAAAGGTATGGCCAGGCACAGCTATAGAAAGGAGGCAAATCCCTTCACAGAATGTAAAGGAAGAAACATTTTAAATGCAAGACTTTGATCACTCATAGCTGACTTCCTTATTTCTTTCCTGTAGCCAAGAAGCATGACGTTGAAAACAACCTGTTTGAAATAATCACAGCAAGTGAAGTCCACTATTACTTGCAAGCAGCTTCATCTGCAGAGCGTACAGAGTGGATCAAAGCAATTCAGACAGTTGCTAGGACTGGGAAATGAAGGTGATCCACCAGCAAGAAGGACAACTGAAACTGATTGCTCAAAACAAAACAGGAATTTTAGCTTTTCACTGAGATAAAGTCATGTCAACCAGAAAAGCCTCCTAAGGCTTGTGGGTTGGGAGGGGGGAATAAGTTTCAGTTCTGTAGTGGGCACAACCACAACCCAAGTGGAAAGTATCTTACTAAATTATAGCATAGAATGTTACGTTAGTGTGTGCTTCTTGTAGTACTCAGTATGCCTTGGGAAGGTTATACCTTATGCCTTTCCCTGCTGCCACTGCTGATAGCGAGGATTTCACCATTAAGAGCGGACAGGATCTTGTTGCTGTCTGTACACAAGGAAAAGTCAGTATGACTCAGCCTTTACTGTTTGAGTACCTTCTAATAACTCAAGGGATTCCCAAGACAAACTTCACCCTTTCTTCTTTACTAGCCCATCTTTCTGCTGCCGTGTTCAGCTATCCAAGTAATGCAATAGAGCTAAGAGCTAATGTGATCCACACCTTTATAATCCTTCAGTGTCAAGGAAAGGAAGAGTACAGACAACTGTGGTAGCACTATGCAGAAAGCATAGTGTGCAAATGTACAAATCAATGACAGCTGTATGAGTATCCATGCAGTAAAATTCTTTGCCTGTGATTCTTCCGAAGCAATCTCAGTTTTTCTGTACCAACTTCATTTTGACCTTCACTATATTTCTCCAAAAGAATCTGCTCCAGAATCATTGTTTTGCTTCATTTAGATGCCAGTGCAGCTGGTGGAGTGTTGTGCACTGCTGATTTGACCTGTATTTGAATTAAGAATCTTTCAGGAAGAGGAAAAGGATCCATATGTTGATACTTGAATTCCCAGCTGAGGTGTTGTTGATTAGGGTCTGTCTTAACCTACAGAAATGTACCCAATGCTTGGCTCTGTGCTTTAAGTCATATTAGAGGAGCCTTATTAGTTCTGCAATAAGTGTTGTTTGATGATGTCAAGTTGCCTGATCAATCTTTGTTTTTTTGTCATACTTATGCCTCCAACCTTCAAGTCTTCAAACTGTAACTGGAGGTCAACATGTGACATTCTGCACGTAGCCTTTTCTTAAAAAAAAGAACTTAAAAAGAAACTTAAAAAGATAAATTAGATTTCTTATCCTTAAGAACTCTTATTCAGGTTTCTTGAAACTAAGAAATAAATATGGTTCTAAAGCTTATCTTTAGTTCTGTTTTCATTATATGTGTATTTACCCTGTTCACACATATGCCATGCAAACAGAGCCAGGAGAAGCTGCTAGTTCAGCTTAGGGTAACCAGATTGATGTTCAGGAAGAAACTTCATCGGGTTCATGGAAGCTGTATTATCACAAAAGCTGTTGTTGTTTTGGTAAAGCAGTAGCACAAGCAGCTTCTGCAGTAACTGGACTGTGCCTTGGTCTGTTGGACCATCTTGGTGATGATAATCTCCCAGGGCATGGTGGGAGATTTAACATGAAAACAAAACTTTGGTGATCCACTGCATGCATTTGGGTTAATATGGTTATCTGCACAATGGAAAGCTATAAATACAGTAACACATTGCTGATAAGTTTGTGTTTTTGTTTTTTTTTTTCCCCATTTGGAGGGGAAAGGGTATGAATCATCATCTCGTTCACACAGATAGCAAAAACAGTTAATAGAAAGCAAGTCTGAAGAGATCTAATGTAACGTACCTGAAGGTTGATGGGCTAAATATGGCTTGTTGCTTTCTAACATTATACCAATACTGTGCCTTTCACTCTTGCCTAAAGAACTCTCTGCAGTTATGTTCATGTTATGCAGTTGTGGTTTGATATCAAACACCTGCAGAAGAACAGCTACCGCTTTTTTGCTGGGACCCTCTTGTGTTGGTGAATCTCTGCAGGTAGAAGCCAGTGTAGTCTGATGAGATCTGGACCTCAGAAGACTGTATCAGCCCAAAAGGAAAATATCTTGGGTCTTACGCTAAGCTCAAAGCTCAACCATGCTTTCTACTCTGTTTTTATCTCACAGGCATCTCCATTTGTTTATTGATCTCTGGTATTTTTTCTTTTTTTAACCCCCAAAGTGCTTGGTTTTTCAGAAATTGCAGGCTTTGGCATATTTGTGACCTCAACAGTAGAGAACAGCGAATATTGGCAGTCAGCAGAGTCTCCATTATCCTAAAGGAAACATGGATTTGCTCAAGAAGCTTCTTGTACCCTTGAATCTGGGTGATTTTCTACTGTGTGCAGTAGAGCACTCCTGGTGTCTTTCACTTCCTTGAATTACTTCTGGTAAAGGATCAGATCTCGTTCTTTAATAAGCTGAGTTTCTTCTCAGAAATAACAGAAAAAGCAGCTGTGCTGAGGCAGCAGGCTGGCAGAGACAGTGTTGTCACATCCATTTAGGACATAGAGGAAATCAGTTTCTAGCAGGCATTTCCTGTGTCTCATGCAAGCTGACAGGATCGCTGAAGCCTGGTCTGTTATTCTGAGGAAGGAAGCCTCACAGTGAAGAAAAGATAACTATTTGCTCAGCCCTGCTTTTTTGATAATTGCTTTGTGGTTTCTCAGACCTCACTAACCCCAAAATATCCTATAGCACAGGAAAATGAAACACAGAAACTCGTCCAGCTTAGCATAGCAAAGGAGGAATGCAACTGTTGGTACGGTGCCTACACATGAATGGTATTGTTGGCAAATCTCTTGGGGAAGAGAGCTGATGTTTGTACCAGACAACAGGTTCTCTAACCTGCTAGGTGGCTCTTTATGACGTGCACCCTGAGCACTTATCTCAGGGGAAGCATGAAGACTGCAAGTTTATGTCTCATGCCACCCTGCCCTCTTTTCCTTCTCTGAAGACTTTTGTTTGCCTGAGAAGGTACTACGCAACTCCAAACCGATCTTCCTTTTATTCAGGTTGCCACACATCTTGACACAAATAATTAGCTCTGCGTTCCAGGATGAATGTGTGCTTTAAAAATAGACGTGATAAGAAACAAGTACATTTCAGCAAAGCCCAAACTTTTCTTTTTATGGTGAGGCATCTCTGTGATAAGTTTTTCACAAGGGATGACCTGGAGACAAGGGTTAATATGGGGCTGTTATTCAGAGATACTCCATTTTCAAACACGTGGTAGTGCTTCTGAAAATCCAAGTGAGAATTTAAGTGCCACAGGTAATCTGACATTAAGAATTGTGCATGATAGAATGGGAATTGTCACAACCCTTGAACTGAGTGAAGTTGCTCAGAAAACAGCTGCTGGAGCTGAGACAAGGTGCAAAGGCTACCGTAATGGATGTCTGCAAAGGAAAAAAAAAAAAAGGATTAGTTTTATGCCAGTACAATTTCCAGACATACCAAACGGATTTTGTCCAAGGAAATTAAATATTAAAATGCAATTATATCATAGATTATGAGGCAAGTCCAGTTACTCAGAAGATGGGGAAGGGAAGAGGCATACTGAATGCTAGCACTAGAGGAGAGAGCAGGCCTAGTACAAGGCCAAGTAAAAGAGAAAGAAAGGAGAGCAGATGCTTGTGATCCATGCTTCTTCCAACTGTTTTCACCTTCTGTTTAAATCATCCTTCCATGCACTCAGTAAATACTACTTCAACAATAATTACTTTTTTTTCCTATTAAGATGGATTAGTCTTTTGTTATAGAATACAGGAAAGCGAAAGAAACCACTGAGAATAAGGATTATATTTATAACCTTCGTTTACTGTAAGACATGTACAATGTCATCTACAGTGAAGATCCTCATGTGTTTGATTTGCCATAGTTTTCCCTCCCCTGGCATGCTGCCCATGTACTCATCAGAGCTGGTTTTCAGGGGTGTCTATTAATGATGCACCTACAAAAACACGCTTATAGCGTGAACCTCCTTCTTCCACAGTTTAAAAGAAAACTGAACAAAACAAACTTGTAAATACATTGGAAAATATAGCATCCATGAGAACTGCAACAGCCTACTAATTGTTCAGCCACAGGTGGTGCTTTTTCCCATTATCCAATAGTCCCTTCCCCACGTGGAAGTGATTCTGTCTTAACGAGTTTCCAGCAGTGGTTTTCAAAAGATTTTTACTTGTTCTGTGTTCTGGCTTTCCCTTGAAGGGTAAGGTTAGAGTTCTTTGTGGTTCCATGATATTTGTTTCTGTCTTTGTTTTCAGGGTGAAATAAAAAAAGTGTATTTTGTTGATGTAAAGTTTGCTCATAAGGAAGACGGGAAAATACTTAAGACTTCTGAGGTGTAATCTGGTGTGCTGTCATACTTTTCTTCCAGAGAAAGTTGGTAGCTGTGCTTCCTATGCTGTAAATAATGCCTTCGTGCAGTAATCCTGCTTGTGGTTTTAGACTTCATTTTATTACCAATGTTATATAACAAATATTTTTTGCTGATTTGTTCTCAAAAGCTTTAGAAGGTTGTAGAGGTTATTTAAGTATAAAACACTTGTACAGGGGTCTAGGTAAGCTCTTTGTAATACATCTCTGTTTCTTCTGAGATTCAGGCTTGCACAGCACCAAAACTCCCCTTATTAATTCTTTTTGAGAATTAAAAAAAAATTAGTTTTTCTTTTTTAGAGCTCCGAAGGAACATGGGACTGAACTTTCAGAGAATGAGAAAAGCAGGCAAAAGTCCTTTGTTTTTTGAAGTTGGTATTTCTACTAATGTCTTTCATTTATGTTTCAAAAGGCGTGTATATATTCTTTTGTGACCTGTGGCCATAATGTTGCTATGTAGAGAACTAATTGTGTTCAGTCTGCACTTTTGTGTGCAGTAGAAAGCCTGAAGCCAGGCTTCTAATTTTCCTCTCTTGTTTGGGTTTCCTGCAGGCTGTGAGGGCGATGCTCGGGGCCTTTCCTCTCACCACGCCGCCTCTCTTTGAGGAGTGTGGGGGTTTGACAGCTTTGGCAGCATGAGAAAGCTGTGTGCAGCACACAGAGAACTGCCACAAGTTCTTTAGTAAACCTGTTTGGATTATACGTAAATAAATGCACTGTGTTGAGTTTGTCTTCAGGTAGGTAAAAGTGGAATAAATGTGTTTGTACATATTGATAACATGCCTCAATAAGCAAAGTGCTTCTTTTCAAAGGCTAAAATGTGAGGCTGTTCACACAGCCTGCGTTTTGAAGGTTTGATTTCAGATTATATGCAAGTAATTATTTTTATACTGTATGCAGTTATTAATGAATAAAGTGCCAGACCTTTTCTAGCAGCAGGGTTCAGGATGGAAAACTCAGTCCTGCTTCTCACGGCTAAGTGTAGATAAGCTCCTCTCCCTTGCTCTCTCTCCTACCAGTGTGGATCCTGAGTAACTATGACCTTTCTAATTTGACTTGTGTAATGCTGAGGAGGACAAAGGAGACTTAAAAGCACGTGATAGAGTCAGGATCAGTGTTCAGAATGATGAAGTGCTGCTGCCTTTCCAGATGACTTTACCTGCCAACCACGCGTGGCTTAGCCACTAAAAGAGAGTCTTGCTGCATTGTGAAGCCCTTGGAGTTCTCCTGTTCTCTGCAGTTGGTGGATTGGAGCCTAAAAGCAGAGAGCATCTCTTGCCAACTTTGAAAGTGTTCATTGGTGAACAAGGAAATAGAGATATAGAATATGAGACATAGTTCTGGGTGATTTGCAAAATGAGTGTGAAAGGGAGCCAACATGCAGCCATGTGTATCTGTGAGGTTTTGGTTGTTGTTGTATGGGATGATAGTATGGCTGAAGTTTGAATCTGATGCATGAAAATAATTTGAATATGGTTGTTTCATGACCCTTCACTGCTGTAGCTTATTTTAGGAACTCCTTTACATTTTAAAATGGAGGTTGGTAATTTGCAGGCCAACTAAACAGAAAACAGCCTTGATAATCTTTGAAGCCAAGCTTCGTCTGTTGTTACTCATGGGACTTCTTGAAATAGAACTTCTGACGAAATAAGTGTTTTTTTTTTTCCTGGATTAGAACATATAACTTCTTGCTTTGTGTTTAGAAGCAGAACTGTGCCTTTCCCCTCTGTGTTTCTGGCTCTGATTTCTTTTTCTTTTTTTCTTTCCCCTTTCTGTTTAGTTGAAGAGAGGGTAAAACTATATGAAGGCTGAGAAAACTGCTTCTCGTACTTCAGCTGTCTTCCATTTTAAGTGAGGTAGAGTATAGTCAAGCTCTTCCCCATCCTTGCATAGATTCAGCCTTTAAGATGGCAATGTTTCCCTCTCGTGCTCC